CCAGACAAAGGAAAATGAAAGAAAGAAGTATTTGCTTATTGGAAAAAGAAACTAGATAGTAATTAAATTTCTTGTCTGCTGGAGAGGTAAAACAAAAGACCATCTGGTTCTGATTAAGAACTGAGACTAAGTGATGAGCTATCCTGGAGTACCAATGACCAACTGGAAAGAAATAGATAATATTTTTACAGCCATTGTGAGCAAAGGAGAGGCACAGACCCCTGGCTGAGAGTTTGGCTGATAGATGAGTATTGACTTTTAGAAGCAAACAAGTTTCCAGCAGAAGATAGATAAAAGAATGACAATTAAATTTTTTGTCTGATGAAATGCGATAAAACTTCCCAAAATCAAGGGATTGTTCCCTTTTTGCCTTTTGTTGACCAAAAGGGTTGACAATAGGATAAAAAAAATGATAGATTCCAGATGCAGAAATGACCACACACAAAAGCATGAGGAGAAAGAATTTTGAATGATAATTAAAATTTCACCATTGGCCTAGATCATGCCTAGTCCTAAAGGGACGAATTTGGTCAGGTGACCAAGGAGGAAAAGGCCCAGGTGGAATTCTAAGGAAGGTGGAGGACTTTCCACGCATCTCAGGCAGTGATGGTGAGAGAAACTTACATCAAGCAGGAAGGATACGGGTTTGATCAGGTGACCAAAAGAGGGAGAAGGCCCAGGTAGAATTCCAAGGAGAGAAGAGAGGCTTCCCCACATTTGACCATTTGCAGGGAGATCCCTGATTGGTTGTTTGGGGAATGCTGGCATACCCAGAGCACCTCCTTTGCGCATGGGTCTATAAAAACAACTCTGCGACACTATGGAGAGAGAGGTTATTCTAGCCACCGCACAAGGGACACTCCACATGACTGCCTGCCAAAAAGAACCCCCAACATCAACTTCACTAAGTCAGCAAAGTGCAATGTCTAACCTAAGAATTAGGTTGGGTCGATGAACATCTGCATGTGAGCGGCTAGATTTTTTTTGACAACAAACTAACAAAGGACCATATATGAAAATAATATTTATTTTTTTATTCAAGTGTTTACATCCTTTCTTGTGTCTTCATTACACTTTGGGCCTGTCCAATACGAAGATACCTGACGATGATTTGATCCTAGCCGACCTTATGATCAAAACAAATTACAATAAGGATAAGGCAAGGCCAGGTTCGAAGCAATCACCTCATTAATCAACCATGGGTATTGGACATTTGGACAACCAGGGAGGGACTTGAAGCCAACAAGACAAACTCCATTCTTTAGTTCTGCCAATTCATACTTTTACTGCTAGGACATGTCATGCTATTTCCACAGAAACAAAATCATCATTTTCTCCATATTCTAATCGTAAGAAAGCTTATCAGCTCTAATTTCTTTTTTTTCAATATCATGTTATTCCATTATGCAGATGATCATGGCTCTCCACAGCTTCCATTTTCTTTATTATCAGCAAAATGCCATGACTTTTTGGTAAAGACGGTGGAGTGATATCCCGTTGACTTTTTTCACGGTTTTGAATACAGAGTTGTCCTTCTCCTACACTGGCTACCATCCATAGCTAGAGAACCCAGTCTACCCTACTATTTCATTTATATATCTCTGTGTTGCAAATTCATAACACTATGTATTAAATGTCTCATTTCTGAGCAAGAAGTCAGAACTTAACTGATTTACTCAGGAAAGGGAAAAATTTGGAGAGGAATCTTTTTTTTTAGATCAGCATTCATTAGACCTTCCTTAAGATGCAAGCATTTGTCAGAACTGAAAAATATTGATTTTATTAATTCAGAAAGGTGGGTGGGGCTCTGTTCATAATATCATTGTAGTGTAAAATTGATCTCTGACTTTTAACAGAATTATTGGGTCTAGATAATTTTTACAAGTGTCATATTGTCCTGGGTATGACAATAAACTACATCCAGCAGCAAGGCCTCTGATCAGGTGATTAGAGTTTTTGAGGACTGTAGGAACACCTCTTAATTGCTGCTGTTCCCAGATTCCCTCTGACCCAATGTAGTAGAATTTGTTAGGGTCTTAGCTATGGGAAAATAGTGACTCTGCTCCTCTGCCAAACAAAAAAGAACAGTACATTTTTATAATAAAATGAGCAACAATAGATTTTTATTGTAAAATGGCAATCATTGCAACACTAATATAAAAATACATTTTTATAGAAGAATACATTTTAAGATGTACAAACAATATATCTAAAAACAAAAGCAACATAGTTTTATACTTTCAGGATAAAACTATGTACAAAATAACTGAAGTTGAAAGCATAAAATTATGTACAAAATATGTAGATTTTGACATTAAATAACCCATACAGATGTTGATATGATGCTAAACAAAATCAACCAATGAACTAAGTGCCATATTTGAAATTGTAATTATATCATTGATACCTGTATTTTATTTTTAATTTTCTGAATTTTTGCACTTTTAAAAATATTTTTTTTTTAAATATGTTTTTGGGGAGGATTTTTTTTCCAGAGCAGTTGAACAAACATGGAGGATAATAACTGTCTCAAATGAAGATTAAACAGATATATAATTTATTAATTTATGTACATTTTTGTTCTTTAATTAAAAATGTATATATTAGTTTATTCTTTATTTAAAAGAAATCAATTTGTAAAAAAAAAAAAAAGAAAAAAAAAATTGTTTTCATAGAACGCCTAAGTCCAGATAACTCTGTAAAAAGTTAGGAATTGATTTTAAGATGGATTGATATTATGAACAGGGACCCCTTCTAAAGTGATAAAAAAATATATTTTTCAATTTTGACAAATGTCCATACCTTGTTGAAATTCTAATAAATGCTAATCTATAAAAGATACTTCACCCAAAAAGGTTCCCTTATTTTTATGACTGAACTAGTCTACTTATGTAGTACTGGCAAGAAATTTGAGAAGTTTTGATAAAGTCCAAATTGTTTATGGCCAGATGATTAGGTTAGAGCTTTTTTTGAAATGGAGTTCTTACATTCAGTTGTGTTGAGAAGATGCAGATAAATCACCGACTGTTGACAAGGTATTGGGTGGCTAGGACTTAGTAAAGCAAAAGGTAAACAATGTCTTTTCTGCCAAGTATGAGCCAAAAGAATGGCTACTGTGGCACATATTGCAGACAGTTTTCATCAAGAGTAGAAGGGAATGCATAACAACACAGTGCAGTGATCATTGTTGTGCATGGAACTGTGTAGATAGTGGCCAATTAGGGGACCCATGCATGAATGGGGTTAGTCCTTGGTAGACTATTTTTTGATTTACATTAAGTAGCTGGATACTTTTCGAACAGACATAAAAAAGAGGATTTTAGTTTATTAAGATAATTGGCTGAAATGAATATATCTAACTGGGACACTTTTTTCATTAATCCAGCTTGTCTTTAATGAAATTCTAAAGCAGTTCAAAAAGTAAGACAAGCTTATAATGGTTAATAATTATCTGCTATCTTTTTTATTTGTGTTAGAGTATGTGTAAGCTGGGCCAAGATGGCAAATTTCTGGTCAGAATACTGATGACACAAATAGAGTGTGGGGAGGGGGGGTGCCCTCAACTGATGTTTCTTCCAGCAGTTGTGAAAAATCCTTTCCCTTACAATGTCATGTTCTTTCCACTACATTTTATACTCTCCTGGAAATTACTGCAGTCTTGATAAGCCTGATGGAGCTAGCTTTAGGTCCCCATATCTGTAAAGGAATATCAGGTGCTTTGACATTCATGCCAATTTTTGGTGTTGCTTTTCCAAACACCTTTATTGTATACCAATTCAATAATTTTTGCCATGAATTTCTGGGATAAGGAGTTTGCATTATTTACATTCAGACTAATATCCTCATCATGTTGTGCTAAGATGAGGACAATGGAAATTGTAAGGAAATATTTGGCATTCATTAGCCAAGCAGCTAGGAGTTCTTTTCATTGAAATTTATAAAAATCATTCTATTAAGACAAGGTTTGAAGGAAATGGTCTGAATGTAAATAATGATAACTCCTTGTCCTAGAAATTCAGTGTCCTTTTGGTTCCCATTTTTGTTAAAACTTCCTCATTACTCACATACTCCATCTATGGTATTCTCAGCACCCCCGGCATTCAGAAGACATCCTGATGTTATAAGAAATACAGCAAATAAATCTTAAAAAATGTCTGTGGCCATCAATCAGATCTTTTAGCCAAATTTAAGCTCAAATTTTATCATTTTATCAAAATGATAGTTTATTGAACGTTCCCTTTTGGTGTGTGCATTCATGTTTTGTACTGTAACTAAGGTTTGCTTAGCATAGCTGCATTATAAACCACAGATTGGCTCTGTGGGTGTTAAAGAAACACAAATGGGCCCAAGCAGACAGGCTTGCTTGGAAACAAGCAGTCATGCAGAAGATGAGAAATCACATTGATTTGCAGTGTGCCTTCAAGCTGAAACAGCTCTGATGATGTATATGTGTATTGCAACAGAACGATGGTCATTATTTATCATTGGAAATACTCTCAGAGCTAAATATGATTACTTTTGAGAGGAAGGTGTAAAATTGTACTAATACTGAAATTATGTTAATAGTGACAACAACAGACAAAGGAATCTTAAATTTAAAAAAAAAAATATCTGTCATACTATGTAAGATTAAAAAGAAACAAATGGAAAACGTTAAACAAATTCTTTGAAAATATAACATCATAAAGCAATATTTTTTATGGGGACAGAGTTGCAGACTAGTGCCAGTAAAGATGACATCAAAAGAAACAGTACCTTGATGAAACTATTTATTCACTAATTTTTTTTTTTTTTTTAAAGACATGGAGCTGGATGACTGATTGCTACTATTGACTACTGGCCAAATTCAAAATAAGGAAACATTTGCACATATTTGGAAAAACTAAGGAGACATTAAAAATAACAATTACCAATGCAAAGAGAATAAAAAGTACAAAAAAGAAAATCAAATGCTGCACATCAAAAATAGGAAATAATGATTTTTGTTTTTAACAAAAATGTCCACTATTGAAAAATATACTTACAGAAAATAAAAAAGAATGCCCCCTTGACTTCAAAGAGTAAAGAGAGAGAAAAAAATGATAAAAATGTGTGTGTGTGTGGAAGCATTTGGTAATCAGCTCCACAAAATTCGTTAAAAAAAAACAAAAAAACCTGTCAATTTGTACAGTCTTATATTTTACAGACAGAAAAATGGATTTCATTAAGATAGGTCTTGAAACAAAAAAATTTACCCATCTTTATGTGTAAGAAAAGGTAGTAATAAAATTTATTCTAATAAAAATAAAATAGGAAACATATTTAAAAAAATACAAATTAAAAAGGACATAGGTAAGCATAGCTCTCCACAACTTCCAGTCTTTTGTAGCTCTTAGTAAGGTTTGTCTTTTTGCTATCCCTCCTAACCCCTGTTCTGCCAACCATTTATACAAGCTCATTAGGTAGGTTATT